CTGTTTTCTTGCAATAGACAATGATATAATGCGAAAAATGTGCACCTTAATTACGAGTAAAGGTACAGACATCGACGAAAATATTGCTAACCAAAATCATACTACTCGTACCCGTACACCGAAACCGGGGTATCTTAACCTCTCTAATATACTTTCTCTGTTCTGGTTCAACTGAATTTCGAAGCCTAAATACTTGAAATATAAGAAAGTTTCCTCGAAAGTATTAACAGGCGGCATATTTTTGATACGCGACTACAAACGCGAGCAAAATTATTGTTGACATTTGAGTTACGTAATTACTTCCGTTAACGAGATCATCCAATGGGAAGCTTTTCCGAAGATTCTTCGGAGAAGAACATATTAATCATAGGCATTTGGGCAGGCGTTTATTTAACGACGCCCTTTCTTCCCCCGCCCTCACTAAACGCATTCTACGCAGGCTACATTCCAGCCGAAGACTAGACTGATAACATTTAGCGAAATTTGATTATTCGGAATATTACAAATACCGAATTCAATAGCTGTTTTATTATATTTTCATTAGCTCTTCCGACAAACAATGATTTATCGAAAAAAATATCACATTAACAGCATAAAATATTAGGAATCTATATAAATAGATAGCCTATATGCTAACATTCAGTTACCTGAATTATTTTCTACCACCACACTCCTTAAAACATCCCGCATTTGAAAGTCCTAAATTTTCCAAAGCGGTGTTTAGCTTCAAACAAATAGCAAACGGTCCTTCGTCTTGAAATATGATGAAGTCATCGTCAGAACATTCTTCGTTTCCATCTTTCGACTCATCCACCATTGCTGCCGCGCCGCTAACCTCGTCGCTCGTTTTTGCGCTGATTACTTCTTCATCGGAATTATCTTCGTCCTCGTCTTTCCTTTCACATCCCGTCGCACCAGCATCACATCCTTCACTGCTCGTTCCAATATCTGCGCTAACTCCTTCATCATCCGAGAAGGTAAAATCCTTTTCTCTTGAATTTTCACTTGACGTGCTAGGCTGACTTCTGTTATCACTATCTTCATCGGAGCTCATTTTCTTTGGCTGGAGTTGATCTACTTCGCAGACACCATAAGCAAAAGCTTGCTTTTCATTAGTTTTATCAAGAAAGCATATAAAAGCTCCAGAATCACCATCTTTCAAAAATGTCTGAGAATTTCCTTTGACAACGATTGCATTCTGGAACAAAACTCTATCCTGGCATTTGTAGGAAAAATTGCATTCAACAATGCGGCCTGTATGCTTTAAATTCGTTGTATAACCGTGTTTCTGCACTGTAACATGATCTTCACTTCTTCCGTTGCATACTACTCTGTCAAATTAGTTAATTCTTTCCATATTTTTTTCCAATCAGGAAAATCAATCTCCGCGACTCTACAATGAACTTCAATATCTTCACGAACCTGTATAGACATGATATCAGACTCACTATGAAAGCAACATTTGGAAAACTCCCCAAGATGTATGTAGTTGGCAGGTGTGATTGGGTTGTAATTTTCGTCAGTGCTTTCATTATCCTGGTCCTTATAATAATACTCTTATATAAGTTCTTTGTATGTTTTTTTTATTTATTAAAATAATACTCTTGTTGTTCTCTAGCATAGCGCTTGTATCCTTCCATCGATTTCTGAATATCGACAAGCTCCTGGTGTTTAAACGTTTGGTGAAAACATTGTTCATCAGTGGCACAACCGACATGAAAACAAGTGAGTGCGTAGTGGTTATAATTCTGAGAACAGAACATGGTCAACGTTCCAGATGCTCAAAGAACTCTTGATCCTTCGTCCACGCTTTGATCCAACACTTTTATAGGATTATTATCTTTATCTTTACTAACAGCAACGATTCCCCCTCCAGATGTTGGCTTTGGTGAGTACTTAAACTTCAGTTTTCTCTTCGGTTCACAAAAAGTTCGAAGTACTTTATTTGGATCACATTCAAACACTTCTTTAAATTCTTTTAATACATCAGATTTCTTCTTTCCTCTTTTCACCGTTACATAAACATGAGGACGCGGAATCTTGTCGTTTGGACCTTTCAATCCATATGCTCCACTTAACCAGAAAAATCTATTAAAGAAAAAAATATGGCAACTATTATTAATTTAGTAGTTTTTCATTAACTTAGCATTGCGCAAATCAAACGTTGTGTACTATCATTTAAGGTTACATTGCTATTTTTAGTGGAAAATACAATAAAAGTTGGGCGATAAATTGAATGGAAGTTTTGTTTTTCCATTCGCCTACACTACGTATAAAAGTTAGCCGATAAATTGCAATACAATACAATACAATAAAAGTTGGGCGATAAATTGGATTGTATACTTTCGTTTTTCCATTATCATTGCTATTTTTAGTGGAAAATACAATATAAGTCGCGCGATAAATTGAATTGAACTTTCAATTTTTCATCAGCATTGCTATTTTTAGTGGAAAATACAATATAAGTCGCGCGATAAATTGAATTGAATTTTTGTTTTTCCATTCGCCTACACTACTTCCATCGAGATCTTAGCATATTTGTTTAATTGGATATTATGTTCGAATGCGGGTTAATGTTTTTATAAAACCTCCATTCTGCAAGAAATAGTACAATACCTCTTGAATTTTTCATGTATTTCTTCTCTAATGCTGTATTCAGAGTCAAGAAATATGTATATATATATATATATATATATATATATATATATATATATATATATATATATATATATATATATATAA